CCCCAAAACCCCAAAACCCCAAAACCCCAAAACCCCAAAACCCCATTTAAAAAATTTAATATTGTTTCTACATTATTTTCTAATTTCAGAGTGGAAAAATGTTAGCTTCCAAAGTTAGCCTCAAAAATTCTAAAGCTGTTACTTCTCCTTGTTCCAATATGATGGCAAAATTGATGACTGATATCGTCAAAAAGACTGACAAGCTGTGAAAGAAGAAGTTTTGTAACGAAAAGCTCAGGAAATATTACCATACTAATGACTTTGTCTCGGTAATCAAACCTGATATGTCCATTAAGGCTTATCTCCACAGATTGGCGATGTACTTGCATATTTCAGAGTCATGATTCATCTTAGCTCTTGTGTATATTGACAGGTTGACAGAGAGGCACCCAAGAATACTGGTAAACTCATATACAATCCATAGGTAAGTTATTAAGTATGGGATAATTTTGTGTGTAAATCCCTCTTTTGGTCAAATAGATTATATCTAACATTTACATATAGAATCCTGTCGACCAGCATTATCCTTTCCATGAAGTTCAATGAAGACATCTATTTTCCGTACAAGTACATTGCATCTGTATGTGGCGTCTCAGAAGATGAATTACTAGAGCTAGAGCTATATTTCCTGAAGCTGATCAATTTTGAGTGATTCGTTGATCCTAAAATGTTTGAGAGTTATTACTCCCATTTGTCCAAAACTACTGGCAGAAGAGCATTTCTGAACAATTGTTCCTGTCTGGAACCGGCGCATTCAAGCCCTAAATTACTTCTGAATAACTCTGGATGCAAAGAAGGGAAGATTCAAGAAGCACTAAGCCAAGTATCTGCTTCCCAAATTTTAAACTATACATTTACAGAGAAAACATCTCAAAATCATGGCGTGAGATTCTTTGATGAACAGACCAGGGTTAAACTCGTTAAGCAAAACACTTTCACTTCTTCCTCCTACTCTGATAAAAACAGCAAGCTTTGGAAGTATAACAAGGAGATGAAGAAGTGCCACAGTAAGAGTGGGGAGAGGGACAAAAATGCCAAGTATCCAATTCCGGATTCTCGAGCAACAACCCAACTTAGTACTTCTGCAGGTGGCAAAGTTGTCAGAAGACATAAAAGGAGCAAGAATGTTGCTCCTTCACAACAGAAAGTAATGATGAGTCACCATGATCCAGCAAAGGAGATATAAAAACTCATTTGAATCATTCTTTCACTTCTTATCAAACCTCCAGACAACTCGTTTATACCGGTGAATACCCAAACTGTAGAAATCCTGTTGCTGGAGAAGGTAGGAGCCTTGGATTGGAATCTCACCATGTTTATTTCTAATCCCGCTCCTCTGGCTGTGATACAAAGTATCTCAAGCCGACTGAACACTCATTCCCTCATATCAAAGATAAGAGTTTAACTTACAACCGCAGGAGGGGCTGACAGAGCCTCATCAGTCAGCCGCCTCTTACTTCATAACTCTAAATTATAATTTCATAATAATAAACAGTAGGAATCTTGGATTTTTGGTTAAAGAGCTTAGTTTTCCAAAATACCGAGGCTCCTACTCATTCAGATGAGCGTTTATTTTCATCCACGTCATTACTATCTACGACGTAACAAAATCAGCCCTGCTCACCAAATAGTTCCAACTTTGGTGTGTACACAAAAAGTTGGGAAATCAGCAGCAAATTTTAGAAATAAAACAAATATTTCATCTATCCTTCTGGAAATAAATTTCAAAAACTAATCAATAGTCACAAAAATTCAAAAATGAATTTATCGTCTGAATTTGGCAAGTGCTATTTGGCCTCTGCTGAAGTTAGAATCTTAGCGATATTTATATAAAATAACTCGGTCTAAAATCTTTAGTTTTAGCGCAAATAATATTAGGTAGGCGCATATCTTTGGAGAGTAAACCAGTCAGGGAGAAACTCAAAATATTGATAGACATTCCTGATTAACAACAATGGAAAAGATCTCAAGTATTGGCTTTTAAAGCCCAGAGATCTTCTATTTCAAATATGATTTACATCCTCAGTGATGATCATGTTTGTAAAACGCCCAAATTTCATAACTGTAAAATACTTCAACTTCTATCGCGAAGAAATAACACAGATCTTGCAAGAAAACTTATTGTGTAACCACAAATTTTGAATAGTGTTGAACGCAACCTTTATGACTTTTAGAACTGAAGCCCCAAATTTTGGAATAGATACGATTTATGGAGTTACCAACGCTCAAAAAACATTACTAATAGTATTGAATATCTCCAGATGCATCTAATTATGCTTCCAAGAAAGTAAAAATGCTAGTCTCTATCTTCTAGGGGTGTATTTGCTTCATTTGCTTCATATTTTGACTAAAAGTATTTTCAGGAAATTCTCAAATATGAGTTATATGAATCAACGACGTTCCTTTAACGTTTTTGTCACTTTTATTAATTTTTACGTTAACTAAAGATATCTCAAAATCACATAATTTCAAAAAATCTCCCCTCTAAAACCTAATATTATCTAAATCAGCCCTGGTTCCCTTCAAAAAATATCAGAATCCGTCTATTCTCACTCTAAAATCCCAATTATCCAATCTAATCCTCTAACCCATTCCAAAATCTTCTCAAATGCCAATATTTCCACTAAAAATCCTCAAAACCGCACTAAGCCCTGAAATAACTCGATTGACGTCAACCGTAGTTCTTCGAGTAGGGGTTTTGGGGTTTTGGGGTTTTGGGGTTTTGGGGTTTTGGGG